AAAAAAAAAAGACAGGAAGGGAAGGATAACTCTTAGACTTCTTATGCCCCATGGAAACATTTCCCTTTCTGTGGCCTTTATTCGAAAAGAGGATGAGGCTGGAGCTGGAGAGAGCTCAGTGTGTAACAAACACTTGCCACACAAACCTAACAAGCAGCGTTCAGATTCTGGGGTGGGGAAGGCGGGGGAGGCGGGGGAGACACATATGAACTCTCGGCTCTCCTATGACAGACAGGACAGGAGATAGAAACAGGTGAGGGAGCCTGTAGCTCGAGGCACAGCGGCAAAAACAAGAGAGACCCTGCCTCAAAGGAGAGTGGGAAGCAGCGAGAACTGACTGCGTTGGGGCGGTCCTCTGACTTCCATGTGTGCACTGTGTCACACACAGCACCCCACACTATAGGCCCATAAATAAATAAAATTGTATTTTTCCTCCTTTGGCTTAAAAAAAAAAAAGATATTGAAATCGTGGCTATTTGTCTTAAGTTTCTGCTGGCCCAGCACACAGCAATGCTGTCAGGCACGTGGCTGGTGCACAATGAATGTCTGATGAGCAAATATGTGCCTGAGTGACTTGGACATGGACCTTGCAAAGAGAAGAAGACATGGCATAGTAACTGGACTCTTTGGATCAAATGAGAAAGCTTTAAAGTCAAGATTGTTCTGTCTGAAAAATATGTTAATGAGTACTCGTATTAATATTTTCCTATACGGTATCATGATATTATCAGCTCTCCTCACGAAACTTGCCTACCACACTAACTGGTGATGAATACATACAAAATCAGACTTTAAGCTCTTCATTCACTGTAAAAGACAAGGAGATAAACAGGGGGAAGTGTTTCCCTGTGGTTTTTTTTTGGGTTTTTTTTGTTTTTTTTTTTTAATCAGCATGTTTGAGGTGACAGCCAGGCACATTCGCCTTAGTGACAGAGGAAACTTTGAGGGGAGCCTACCCCCAGTTACAAGACAGAACAAGACTCTGAGAAACAAAGGCTATTTTAAGAACTATAGTTAATTTCCCTTCATAAATCCCTCTCCCTCTCTGTCACTCTCTTCCTCCTTCCCTCCTCCCTTCTCCTTTCTCCCTCTAATACTGACATTCATTAAAAGCTTGGGGGGGGGGGGTTTATTGTATTCAAGTGTTTTCTTTTAGACAGCAGTGAAGTAGGAAGAACATGCCCTTTGCCCTCCTGGCTCAGCTCCTTCCCAAGATGCCCCACAGAGTTCTCCTGTCCCACTGTTAGTTTTTCACCATAACAGACACACACTGAGATTGTCTGGTTTGGGTCCAGTGTTTCCAGCTTTCTGCAGTGGACTCTAACTTCTGCTGTGGCGGAGCTGGAATACTCTGACTGCATCACCCAGCAGCCCTCAGTCAGGGTTTAATACGGATTCAGTTGAAGGAACACGTGACAAGAACCTGGGTGTAGGCTAACTTCTCAGGCTTAATATGCTACTTCGTGCAACACACCACTTCATGAACGTCAAGTCCTGATATACCTCAGAGCATTCAACTGGTCATGAAGAGGTGACATAGTTAAAGAAAGGATGAAAAGGAAAAGCCAGGCATGGTGACACACGCCTGTATCCTGCAGTTTGAGAGGCTGAGGCAGGAGAATCAGGAGTTACAAGATTGACAAGTATTACACAGGTAGATAATGTCTCACACACACACAAATGGAGAAATGAAAAGAAGGAAGAAAGGAGAAAAGAGGAAGCTAAGCCTTACTCCTAAGCTCTTAACCATCAGTCTGAGTGGGCTGCAGCTTGCTATATTGTACTGAATTGTGTGCGGCAGAAGAACACAACGAAGGGCGGCCAGGGAGTACCATGTCATGAAGGACAAAGGCGCCTGAAGTAAAAGCGTGATAACGTCACAAATCAGCATCACGTCTGGACAGCAGTGAGCAAGTGCTTGGTAATGCTCAGCTAATGCGCTACAATCAAGGGTGCTTTCAATTTGTTCCAGCTACATGATGCCTGGCCCTCAGGGGTTGGGCTGTAGGCATGAAAAGCAGAGGACACATAAATGGAGAGGTGGCAAGTTTGGCTGATGAGGTAGAAGAGGTTTTCTGCATGTTCCACAAAGCATGGAGGGGACGGAATCTCAAGTGTTGGCTAAAAGGTATCTTCATGAACTGAAGTGGGGAAAAGAGGTGCTTTAAATGGCTGGAAGATGGAGCGGTGGCCCAAGAGAGCTGTGGGTAAGGAGGATGGCCTTGAAGAGGGAGCCTTGGATTGAACTAGATGGAAGATAGTATCAGGGAGAATCTTAGTGGACTGGACAGATGCAATCTTTCGCAGTCACGCTCGGAAGGGGTCAGGTTGGTAGCAGTCAATGTGACAAATTGCACACTCTGGAAGTGAGTGATGATGCAGAGAGTGAAGGTGTGGCGAGTGGGGAAAACTGGATGACCACCCCAAGAGCAGAGAACTCAGAAATACCCGATCTGCAAACAAAACTGGTTCACAGACAGACACTTGTGATTCAGCCCATGAGAAGAGATTACATTGCCCAGAGCCTCAGGCCCACCCCTTGATCTCTCCCTTTGGAGTACAGAGTAGTGGCAATGATCTGACTCCTCCCCCCCCCCCCTTCCGCATAAACCACACATTACAGAAGAGATTCAAGAATCTGACAGAGCAGATCCAGTTTGCAACAGCCATACGTAAAAAAGGACTTCACCTCTTTGGCCCCCCCAAAGAGCCAGAAAAAGACTTTCAGGTAACACTGTTCTGGTGATCAATTTTTACCATGCTGACTTTGAGATAAATACAGGGAGTTAGCATAGGAAAATATGCTTCAATCAATTAATCAATCTAAAGAACGCTGGCACCTGTCCGCTAAGCCAATATCCCCGCAGGTGGCAACTGCAATGGCTCTGGGGACTGTGTGTGTACTGACCTACCATACTCCAAGACCTGTTCCTTCTCCATGTCTGCATAGGGGCTGGAGAGATGACACAGTGGTTAAGAACACATGGTTCTTCCAAAGGACCACCGTTCAGTTTCAAGCATCCCACAACTGGCGGCTCACAACCACCTCTAACTCTGGCTCCAGAGGATTTGACACCCTCTCCGGGCCTCTACAAGAACCTACTCACATGTGTGCACACACGCGCGCGCACACGCACACACACACACAAATAAATACACCCAACCTAAAATAAATAAAGAGCGCTGGCTGCTCTTCCAGAGGACACAGGCTCAACCCCTAACACCCACATGGCACTTCACAAATGTCTCTGACCCCAGTCCCAGGGGTTGCAATGCCCTCTTCTCACCTCTGAGGTCACCAGGGAAGTATTACACATAAAATAAAATATTTTAAATTCAAATAAATATTTAAAAATGCTAAGTATTTTGTAACTGACTTACTTTCCCGAAGGCTTGGGATACACTTGGGGATGTGTTCCCCACCCCTGGGGTGCGCTTGAACCAGATTTCTTCTCTCTGTATTGACTTTTCCTTCCTCCCCCTTGGCTAGGTATTCAGCAATCTGTGAGCCACCTACATTAGGCTAGAAATACTCAGAAGAGGAACATTTTCAGTTATGACGAGTCATGGCAGCATTTCTCCGCCGGTCCGGATTTGGGGTGTTTCTGTCAGGTGATGCCCATGGGGACACATTTCAGCAGAAGGCGGGAAGTGTTCCGTGGCTCTGCTCCCACAGACCCCAGCAATCTTCACTTCCAACACTATCTCCCCACCCAACCACACACACACACAAGCACGGAGGGCCTTCTCTTTGCTGTCCTCCTTACCTGCTGACCCATTTCGTCAGTCCTAGATACAGACCTTAGAAGAAATATAACCAGGGCCTGTTCTGTGACTCAGCAGGTGAGGGCATTCCTCATGAGAGCCAAAAACCTAAACGATGCCCAGGCCCCTTGTGGTCGAGCAAGAGAACCAATTCTCAAAAGCTGTCCTTTCTACATGTGCAGTGTGGGACACACATACAAAAACAAGACCCAAAACCACAGGGACTCCACCACACCCACTGAGACAAACGGTCCACTCCAAGCCTGTGCCTGTGCTCAATTTTCCCCACATGTTCCAAAAGACGTCTCTTGGTTTAAGTCAGGAACCAGAGAGCTCGTGTACTGGTGTGTCTGACGTCTCTTTTAACCTGAACACTCTTCTTCATTAGAAGAAGAAAAGAACGCCCTCAACCTGTTTAAGGAACCTTGCAGGATTTCTCACATTCTGGACTTTGCTGGCAGCTTCCTTGGAGCACTATGTAATGTGTCTGTCCCCTGTGTTTCTTGTAGATTAGCAGATAAACCCAGGGCCTTCTGGGTATTCTTGTGCAATTGCTTTTGCTCTGAGAGTCACTCAGGATGGGTTCTCAACCTGCTCTCCCATGCCATTCGGGAACACAGAGCCCCTGACCTCACTTCTTGTGATGTGAAAATTGGTCTGTGAGTGTGTGATCTCACCTGATACCCCACACATGCACCAGCATGCTCTCTCCAATCTCCCACCCCATGAGTTTGGCATTCCCGAGTGGCTGCCAGGAGGTAGTCTTCAGGCTCCCTCCTTCATCGCATCAACAGTTTGGTTACCCTGGTGCAAGCTCAGATAGAAAGACAGGGCGGATGTGTGGTTCAGAGTAGTGAATTTGGACCTCAGCAACCTCGAGAAGCGACCATTGACAGATCCCTTCTCGGCATCAATACACACTCATAAGTTTGTATGTTTAATGTGTTTAGAGACATTGTTGTAGTGAGAAATCTTTAAAAAAAAAAAAAAAAAAAAACACACACCCCCACAAATATTATAATTTGTTTTTGTTTTGATCCCAGATGTTGGGAATGGGACTTCTTTGAAGCAGCTATGATTTGCATCGTGCTCTAACAGAGGCGTGATTTTGCCAGTTGTAGATGGTTTTCTGCAGTTGTGTGTTATTTGGAATTCTGGGAACTTTTCAGAGGGTATATAAACGCTAGAGCTCCAGGAGGTGGGATAGGAAGTTGTTGTCTGTGGTTTGTTAGTAGCTTGCTCAAAGAAACAAGAAGAAAATAGATTCAAGGATCTCTCTGTCCGTCTGTCTCTCTCTCCCCTTCATCTAGTGATAGGGGTGAAACTGAGAGGCTAAAAGGTGGAGAAAATAAGAACCCACAAAGTGGCAAAGACCAGATACACATTGTAGTGTTTATTGTTCCGTGCTAGGCCAGCAGAGCCAACTTTCCAGTTTACAGGGACCAGAAGAATAAGCACCAAACCTCTCTACCTCTATTGAGGTGAAGGAGACAAAGCCAGAGTATAGGAGTGTTCTCAAGGAAAATGACATACTTTCTTTACCAAGTCAATGTCACATGTGCGTGTGTGCGTGTGCATGTGTGTATACTATATGATTATGTACATGTGATTGTTCAGAAGATCTCATGTATGTGTTGTGTCAGGTACATGTAATTGTGGGTACGTGTGTGTGTGTGTGTGTGTGTGTGTGTGTGTCTGTTATGGGTGTGTGCACATGCTTGTGGCCAAAGGTCAATGTCAGTATCTTCCTTGATCACTCTGTTAGGTCTCTACCTGCTGCAGGGCATGGCTGGCATACTCTACCCTCTACCTAGGGCGGAGCTTCTCCTCTCCCGGAGGCTCTTCACTATATAATCCAGACATCTTGGTTCCGCTGGTCTTCCCCCCTTCCCCTCTTTTCCTCTTTTCTCACTTCCTCTTCCCCTATCTTCCTCCCCCCAAACACATCGTGCGCCCCCCCACACACACACTGCTCCAATAAACCTGGTTTATATAATGTAGCTTTACCTCCCCATTAGCTCATTCTGTTTTATTTAATCAATTACTCTCCACCTTGGTTTCTGAAACAGGGTCTGTCACTAGCCCTGGTGCTTAGCAATTTAGCTGGACTAGTTGGCCAGCATACTCGAGGGATCCTGCTGCCTCCATCTCCCCAGCACTGGGATTACAGGGGCATGCCAGCTCTGGCTTTTTGCATCAAGCCGGGGGGGGGGGGTGTCTACATAGCATAGCAAGTATTTTACCAGCTCAGCTGGTAACCATTTTCAACTGTGACCTCCAAAACATTTTCAATTGTGAGTGTGGAGGAGAAAACTTAAGCCTATCTCCACAGCGGACGATATCCCAAGATACAATGACTGTGGGTCCAACCTCATTCAGAATATTAGTGAATCTCACTGTTGCTGAGATGTAAAACGGGACAACCGCTGTAGAAAAGGTTGGTGTCCTCATGAAAGGTAAGCACACGTACCAGACGGGTCTGGCCATCCCATCCCCACCGTGGTCCAGAGAAATGAATGCATGTGTCCGAAGACTGGTGCCCATGTCATAAGAGCAATCTTATTTCAGGTCTCCAAAAACTGGAGACTGCCCAAATGTCCACTGGCAGGTGACGAGATAAACAGTGGACCTCAACCCATCAATAAAAAGCAGTAAGCTATGGATGGTGCTTCAGCAGAAGGAATTTCAGTGTGGAGCAAGAGAGGGCTGACAGCACATATTGTATGATCCAGTTTACACGAACTCTAGAAAATACAAACTAAACTATAATGCTTAGAATCAGTTCTATTGTTTCTAGGGACAAAGGAAGAGATGAGGGAGGGTGAGAGAGAACCAGGGTATAAAGTCTTGGGGATGATGGGCATGTTAGTCTTAAGCCTGGTGGTGACTTCCATGCCTATACATACACACACACACACACACACACACACACACACGCACACACACACACACACATATCGGAGTTTAAACCAAAGTACACATGGACTTTGTACATCTATTATTCCTCAACAAATCCATGTCCAACTGCTGGAAGAGAGAGCCTTTGTTCCTAGCCTAACCTGGCTAGGGAGCGATGGTTCTGGCCCCTTC